ACCACACACGTCACACGCACCCCACCCCCGCAGGCAGCCGCTCGCTGCAGGGGCCCAGACGCGGGACCCACCCGCATCCACCGCCGCCTGCAGGCTGGCCAGGCAGTCTGCGACGTCGCTGGCGCCGATCTTGCCGGGCAGGGACTGGATGGAGGCCTCGCCGAAGCCTGTGGAGCCGCGGTAGTTGAGCAGCACGACGTTGTAGCCTGCGGGGAGGGGCCGGGAGGCGAAAGGGAGGGGCTGGAGGCGAGGGGGAGGCCTGCGTGTGTGTGGTGTGTGTGAGGGGGGGTACCGGGAGGGAAGGGAGGGGGAGGGGATGAGGAGGGAGGGGCTGGGAGGCGAGGGGACACGGGATGGCGGAGAGCAAGGTGGAGGGGAGAAGGCTAGGAGGCAGCAGGAGGAAGAAAGGGGTGGATGTGTCGCTCGCGTGGCTGAGCGGCGGCATTGCAGCAGGCAGGGATGGGGCGGGAGCAGGGCGGGTGGCGTGGAGGGGGCGCACCCAGGGCGACCAGGTAGGAGAGGGGCATGAAGTATTGCGCCAGGTAGGCGGTGTGGGGGCCGCCGTGGGGAGTGATGATGGTGGGGCGGGGCCCTGCGGCCTGGGCGCTGCTGGCAGCACAGGGGTGGGGGCAGGCAGGGAGCAAGTAGGGGCGCGGCTGAGAGCATGCCAGAGGGAGGGAGGCAGGCAGGCTGGCTGGCATGCAGGCGTGTGCAAAGCACGGGCAGGGGAGGCAGGGAGGCACGCCCGGGAGGGTGGGCAGGGCGGCGGCGTGGCGGCGCCTGCACCGCACCTGTGCAGTACCACCGTCTCAAGGGCGACGTCGGTGGGAGGGGTGGGAGGCGCCACCTGCAGTACCGTCACCGCCACATCCTGCAGCTGCTGGCGTACCGCCGGCGGGAAGCTGCCCGCGTCTGCGTCTGGCAGCGGCAGGCTGCTCCAGCCCCACGCCTGGGCCGTCGGCGCCGCCTGCTCCGCCGCCGGCAGGTGCGCGGCGAAGAGGGCAAAGGGCTGGCTGGGCCGGCTCTCGCAGGCCACCACCCAGCCGCCGTGCGAGGCCAGCAGGGACCAGCTGGCGCCGTTGGCGGGGCTGACGCGGCTGACGCCGCCGCTCTGCATGTCGACGGCAACCACCGCCGCCAGACTGCAGGCGGGAAGAGGAAGCAGGCGGGAAGCAGGCGGGAAGAGGAAGACAGGGTGGTAAGTGTGTGGCTGGTGCGAGGGCGGGGCGGCATGCGCGTGCTGCGCTGCGTAGCAGCAAGTGATGAGGGGCGGAGCCAAGGCCTGGTGGCAGCAGGGCGCAGCGCGCGGCCGCTGGCATGCGGCCACCGCCGGCCTGCGCCGCACCTGCGCCACTGCGTGGTCAGCAGCAGCGTGTGGCTGCCGGGGAGGAAGGGCTGCTCGGGCAGGGAAGTGCAGTACAGGCCGGGGAAGCCGTCTGTGCTGGCTGGCTTCCACACAGTGTCCACCACTGCACACGCGCGGGGAGGAGGGGTCAGGGGGTCAGGGCGTGGGAGGGAAGGAAGGTGTGCCGGAGAGCGGGGCGGCATGGGGCGGGGAGTGGGGGGCAGGCGCCAACAGAGCAGTTCATTATGCCAACAGAGCAGCTCAGGGAATGAGCTGCCAGCAGAGCAGTTCATTCCCTGATCCCATGCAGGGTCAGCTCGACCAGCAGCGCACGCCGGCCGCGCGGCCAGCGCCCCGCAGCGCACCCGTCCGTGGCGGCGGCACCGAGCCTCCCGCCAGCGCCGCGCCGGCGCCCGCCCAGCTCAGGCTGTGCAGCGTGGCGGTGGCGTTGTGCACGCCGCTGGCCACCGCGTTTTGCTGGCTGAGGAAGACCAGGGTGCAGCCGTCGGGGGAGAAGCGAGGAGAAAAGGCGCTGGCCAGGGGCGCGGTGAGGCAGGTGGGGGCGTCGGCGGCGGCGCCGAGGTCGCCGTCGGCGGCGGGCTGCGGCCAGGGCAGGGCGTGCAGGCTGCAGGGGCGGTTGAAGCAGTGCACCAGGCCCAGGCGCTGAGGAAAGTTCGGGCTGGCCAGCTCGCTCTGGTGCTGCCAGCTCACAAACACCAGCGCGTCGCCTGCGGGGCGGTACAGGGAGGCCAGGGGAGCAGGCAGCGGGCGGCACGGCGGCGGCAGGCTCAGGCTGAGGCTGTGGATGGATGGTGGGTGGAGCGGCATGGGGGCCCAGCTGGAAGGGGACGGGAGGGCCGTGCAGGCAGGTGCGTGCATCACACAGACGCGCGGATGAGGCAGGGCAGCGGCCAGCGCAGGGCTCGGCGCCGGCGCAGCCAGCGCAGCGCACCCTGCGGCGCCCACACGGGCTGGCCGCAGCTGGCGTCCTGCGGCAGCCCCTGCACGCGCCGCACCGCCGCCGCGCCCCAGTCCAGCACAAACAGCGTGGGCGGCTTCTTGCCTGCGCGCAAGGGCAGGCGGGGGCGCACCGCGGCGGCAGCGTCGGCGGTGCGGCGATGTCGGCTGGGCGCCGCACTCGCTGCCAGCGGTCGAGCACCGCGAAAATGCCGCGCCCACCTGCACCTCTGCCGCCACCTAAACCCGCACCGAAACACCCACCCCACCCACCCATCCCACCCGTGTTGAGTTCCCCCCAGTCCTCGCTCCACTCCCCCTGGCCCCGCCAGCCCTTGGGCGCCGCCGCTCCCTCGGCCTTCTTGCCGTCGGGCCCCGCCGCCGCGGCGCACCACTCTGGCGTCTTGGCCGGCGGCGGCGCCTCAGCCACATACGCCACCAGCGACTCGTCGTGAGACCAGGAGGCACCTGCACAGGCAGCACGGCGCGGCAGCCCGGTGAAGCGCTGCTGCTGCTGCTGCTGAAGATATGAGCCGGCAGCGAGTGTGTTGTATGTGTGTGTGTGTGTTCGCGGGGTGGGTGGTGCAAGCAGGGCGGACAAGCGAACCAGCAGCAGCCGTGCACCGCCCCGCTTCGGTGGCCTCCTTCCGGCTGTCGCAGCGGTGAATCGTCGCGCGCCGCACCTTGCCCGAACCAGCCGTCGTTGTAGACGGCGCCGTGCAGCGCCTGCGGCACGTGCCGCTCGGCCACCACCCGGCATTGGTCCCACAGCTCCAGCACCGCGCTGCTGTCGCCGCTGCCGGCGCGCACCACCAGCAGGTGGCGGCCGGAGGGGGAGGGGGCGTAGAGCAGCACGCCGGCCTGCTCGGCAGGCGGGCTGGGGTCCAGCGCGCCCGCCTCCAGTACCGCCTCGTTCACCAGGAAGCTGGTGAGGTACTTGCGCTGCGCGTTGGCGGCCAGGTTGCGCTGCTGCAGCTGCACCGTCACGCGCACGCCGTCGTGGGTGGCGGCGGGGAAGGCCCAGGCGCGGGACACGGCCGGCAGGCTGGCAAAGGCCTCCAGCAGGCGCGCCTCCTCCTCCATGCCGGCCGGCTCCTCCCGAGGCTTGGGCTGCTGCGGCGGCGGCGTGGCCATGGCGGCGCCAGACTGGGCCATGGCAGCAGCGGCGGCGGGGCCTCGGGCTGGCGGGCGCAGGGAAGGGCTGGTGGAGGATGGGCGGCGGGGCCTGGGGCAGGCAATCGGCGGCAGGCGGCGGAAGCGGGCGGGCGGGCAGGGGCGGGTCAGGGGGAGCCTGGCACACTGATCAGAGGCCACAGCCGATCCAGGCTGTGGTGCTCCATCATGTGCTGGTGCGCGCAAGTCTCACCCAGCAGCCAGGAGGCGGCGTCCAATCAGAAGGTGGTTGCAGAGAGCGAGGGGGTGGCAGGTGGCACGGTTACCAGCTGCCTGGAGCATTGCAAGCGCCTAAGCAATGGCGGGGGAGGAGAGGGCCCTTCATCGGCAACCCTGCCAGCTCACCACCCATTCCTGAATTGAGCTCCTCCGCTCTGCCTGCCCCATTTCGCAACCCTGTTCCGCGATCTGGCGGACTGAGCCACCGCCTGGGCCAATTATTTGCTCGTCCTTGCCGATCCTGACGCAACTCACAACAGAGGCCTCACACGCGCCACGCCCTGAGGCAGCTGCACCGATCCCTCAGGCGAGCATCGCCGCAGGTGCCGCTGCCGCCGCTGCAGGGTCTGCCGCCGCAGCCGCCGCCAGCTGCCCGCCGCCACTGTGCTTCTGTGTTGCTGAGCTTCTTTAGGGGTCACCGAGTCGCTGCTCCTCATCCACTATCCATGCGCTGGGCTGCAGGGATGGCGGAGCTGGCCGCGGCGCTGGCGGCCCTGTCTGGCGGCAAAGCGGGCGGCAGCAGCGCGTCGCCGGCGCCCACCCCCACGCCCATCAGCCCCACCACCCTGGCGCAGCCCGGCTGGTTCATCCCGCCCCACCTGCTGCGCCTGCCGCACTGCCGCGCCTCGGCCTTCACGGCGCACGAGTGCAGCAGGGAGGCGGCCAGCCACCCCACAGACTTTGAGCGCGTGTACCGATACGGGCTCAGCCTGCAGGTGCCCAGCTGCTGGCCAACAGCTGCCTGGCGGAAGCTGGCAGTCTATGGCAGCATGGGAGGGTGTGACTTGCTCCTGCCAGCCCTTCTCCTCAACCACGGGTTGCCTGCCAGCCTGCCAGCCTGCACAGCCGGTGGCCACACTGGCTTCCCGCCACCCCTCCCTGCGCGCAGGAGCTGGCCAGCAAGCTGGCGCAGCAGCCTGCCGACCAGCTGTCGCTGCTGCACCAGGCGGCGGAGGTGTACATGGAGGCGTCGCAGCTTCAGGGCGGCCGCCACGCAGCCGCGCTGTGTGAGTGCGCGGCGCCTGCCTCTGCATCCACCGGCCTCTCCGAGCGGCATGCCCCTCCAGCCAGCCCACCGGCTTGCCCACCGGCTTGCCCTCCTCCCCTGCCCCCTTGCCCTCCTGCCCCCTCCCTCCCTGCAGACAACTGGGCCGTGGCGCTCACCGACATTGCCCGCCTGGTGCGGGCGCAGCAGCCGGAGGAGGCGTATGAGTGCCTGGCCGCCGCCGCCTCCAAATATGCTCAGTCCCTGGCGGTGCACTCAGACAACCCGCAGTGGGCGGAGGGGCCACGGGGCTGGTGAAGGGAGGGGCGCGGGGCTGCTGCGCGTGTGTGTGTCAGGTTTCTGGGTGT